ATTGATGACAAGTCCAAATGATGGTGTTATTAAGATTGAAAAATCTAATTTAATCAAACTAAAACATACCACACCATAGTTCAATTTGGCTGTCTGTTTGCTATGCCTCTGAACAAATATAGGATAAATTATCAAACCAATCAAACGTTGTCATGGGCTCCTGAATGAGCAGCATTGTTGTGTCACTTCATACTGAAAAAGAATGAGTTCAAAGTTCAGTTCATGCAGATGAAAGTGAGCTAGTTCACGTTCATAGTTCATTTTTTATTGGGATGATGTAAATGACAAATGTACGATCATGTATTCAGTTATTAATCGATTGTGTTGGATCATGAATCTGTGTCGCTCCGCTCACTTTAACACTGAGTCCTGCTGCTCACGTCACGTCTCGTGTTGCACTGATCACAAATGTTGACGAGTCATTAATCACGTTTATTCCACAAATGAATCATCCTGCATTAATGCGTTAATTTTAACAGCCCTAATAATATTCTAATGAAACATTTAAATTTCAAATGAATTCCAGGCTGTCTAACATTTTTATGTTTCAGGTCAGCATTTCAGTCTTCGTCAGCTGGGAATCTGTGAGCCACCATCACGTCGTGGCCTGGCGTTCTGCTCTGACATGGGCCTGCCTCACCGCGGGTTCTCAGTTGGCACAACCCCGGACTTAGACACTGATAGTCAGGCCGTGATGTCACCAGAGCGCGCCATGCGGCTTTGGGGCCGCGGCGGTCTGGGTAAATCATCCGGGAGGAGTTCCTGCCTGTCCAGCCGTTCCAACTCAGTGCTGACTCTTACTGACACCGAGCATGAGAACAAGTCAGACAGCGACAATGGTAGGGAATCAACCTTTTCTCCCTGTTTTGTTTTTTCCATATGCTCAAATCCTCACCCGATAGATTTTTGTACTTTTGGTATTTCTTAAATCTCAAGGCTTTGATTGGGATTAAATTGTAGTCTGTGGTTGACTGGAAAACCTCCTCTAGGGTTAATCAATTTCTACTTTTCAGTCTTGATTGTGGTCCTTTGGAAGTATGCATAGGAAGCTTGTTTCCATAGGATAGGTTCAATGTCCTGACAACTCTAATGTTCACCACCAGCATGTCTAAATGTCTCCAGTTATTGGGACATTCCTTTATTTATTCCACACACTCGTAGTGGATGCCTCCGGTCACTCTAATGCCCTGTCTTAACACTTACAGGATACAGCAAGTTTCAAGAAAAAAATGTTTGGTCTGGAATCTGTTTTGGTCAAGTCAAGTCAAGTCAAGTCAGCTTTATTATCAATAATGCCATATGTGCAGGACATACAGAGAATTGAAATTGCGTTTCCCTCTTATCCCCGGTGCAAACAGCATTAAACATGAAATATAAAATATAAAAA